CTAGTGAGGGTCACTCATAGCACCTAGTGAGGGTCACCCACAGCACCTAGTGAGGGTCACCCACAGCACCTAGTGAGGGTCACCCACTGCACCTAGTGAGGGTCAGCCACAGCACCTGGTGTGTGTCACCCACAGCACCTAGTGAGGGTCACCCACAGCACCTAGTGAGGGTCACCCACAGCACCTAGTGAGGGTCACTCATAGCACCTAGTGAGGGTCACCCACTGCACCTAGTGAGGGTCACCCACAGCACCTAGTGAGGGTCACCCACTGCACCTAGTGAGGGTCACCCACAGCACCTAGTGAGGGTCACTCATAGCACCTATTGAGGGTCACCCACAGCACCTAGTGAGGGTCACTCATAGCACCTAGTGAGGGTCACCCACAGCACCTAGTGAGGGTCACTCATAGCACCTAGTGAGGGTCACCCACAGCACCTAGTGAGGGTCACTCATAGCACCTAGTGAGGGTCACCCACAGCACCTAGTGAGGGTCACCCACAGCACCTAGTGAGGGTCACCCACTGCACCTAGTGAGGGTCACCCACAGCACCTAGTGTGTGTCACCCACAGCACCTAGTGAGGGTCACCCACTGCACCTAGTGAGGGTCACCCACAGCACCTAGTGTGTGTCACCCACAGCACCAATGAGGGTCACCCACAGCACCTAGTGAGGGTCACCCACAGCACCTAGTGAGGGTCACCCACTGCACCTAGTGAGGGTCACCCACAGCACCTAGTGTGTGTCACCCACAGCACCTAGTGTAGCTCACCTGGACAGATGGCTTTCCCTTCAGGTCTGGGCTGGCTGGGGAGCCTGAGGTGCTTAGGCACACCAGGAAGGCACTGGGTTGTGCAAACACTGAGCCATTCCTTCCCTCAAGGCCCAAAACACCCCCCCCCCCACTCCTGCTCTGCACCCCAGGCCCAGTGCTCAGCACCGATTGGGCCAGGCCTGACCCCTTTGTCAGGCCAAACCTGGCTGCAAGCTCAGGGGTGCCATTCGCAAGTGCTCCCTCTCAGGGCTCATGGAGTTCCCTGCGTCGCCCTTCCCCAGGCTCCTGCTGTCTCTTACAGCTGGGATGACGGCTCCGGAAGGAAGCTCTTGGCAAGACACTCACCATGGTTTCCATGTGAATCTGCGTCAGCCTCTGTAGTGACTCCTGGGAAACTCAGTGAGAAGGTCAGATACTTAGACCAATTATCAATGTTCTGTTGTTTGGTCGGAGAGCCACAGGGCTGGCCACGGGGGCTGAGGCGCCCACAGAGGAGGCCCCCACGGAGGAGGCCCCCCCGGGGCAGGCCCCCCATGAGGAGATGCCCACGAGGGGACACCGGGACCCATGTCCTCAGGGGAACCTGTGGAGAGCGGCTACAGGGTTTGGACAGGTTCAGGCCTCGGACTCATACGAGGGCCCAGTCCTCTCATGGCCACGTGCAAGTCCCAGCTTGGGGGGCAGAGCCCTCCCAGCACAGTTATAGCCAACAGCTGTAGTTGTAAGCTTGAACCTATGATCCGAATACGTGGCCCCACGTGCCTGAGTGATGTGGGCTTGATAGAGTTCAGGTGCATGTAATCGAGTAGGATCGAAACCCACGGGAATGTTGTAAACTTCTTGACTGCACCCTGACTTTGCCCCGTGGAATCTGCTATAAAATAAAGACACGGCTTGTGGTCCGTGGTGCTCTCTCCATCAGAGGGGGCAGCATCCCATCCAGCCTCAGCGCTGTTCTCATCTGCCTTTTCTAATCCTTCACCGCCCCTACTCGGGTTCACCCGTGGCCGTGCTGGCGCGGCACAGGGCACAGAACCGAGCTGTGGAGGAAGGAGGGCGGCAGAGGTGGGTGTGAGGCTGGATCGCCGAGGGCGGCAGCAGGGAACCTACCATCGATCCCCATCTGTACATGAACTTCCAGTCTTCAAGAGCCCATGAGTCTCGATGGTGGCCCTGGAGGTGGTGAGCTGAGCAGGACGCATGCAACACAGGTAGGAGCGGGGCCGCTGGAGCCTCGGCTGCAGAGGGAGAGCAGGCTCCCCGGTGCCCCTGGTCCCTAGGAACCCATGGGAAACGGTCCCTGCGGACTGACAGCAGGAGGAAAAGCCCTCAGGGTGTGGGCCGCTCAGAGGCGGCTGGCCCCGGCGGATTGGGGGCAGCGTGCCGGCAGGGTCTCCAGCTTTCCTTGCCAGCCACTGTCCTGCGTACCAGCTGCCATGTTGATGAATTGCCTCTGTCCCTTGCTGGGGTCCCTGGCTACCAGGACTGCCATCCGGGGGCCACCTGCTGCCGTTCACGCTGTCGTCCTGCCACACGGGCCCACCCTGCAGGCTGACCTCGTCCACCCAGGCCCCCTCCGAGCTCCCATGTTTACGCCCGAACAATGCCTGGCCTAGAAACACAGCCAGAGACTGCACTGAAGTGTTACCTTCTGTGATAAAAGGCCAATAAATGTTCTGTCATTTTAGAAGATGAATCCAAGTTGATGAGCCTAGCAACATGGGCAAGCCATGCAGTGGGGAGTCGCCCTGACCCGTGACGGGCTGGCTTAGTGCCCGGCGCGCTAAAGAACTAGGGCACACAAGTAAGCTCGGAACTGTGTAGGGAAGCCACGCAGTTCAGAATGGACTCTCTCAGCTCCGTGTTTTCAGGGACTCCTGAGAGGGACGCTCGCAGAATCGCAGACCAAATTGCCTGGTGACTCGAAGGGAACTCACAGCCACCAGCAGACAGAGATGTGCCTCCGCGCTGGGCCGCGCCCTCGGCCGGTGTCCTCTGGGTGGCGGGTGGCACTGTTTCCTGTGTCCTCTGCTTTCTGAGGGAAGACGGCCTGTCACCAACCCCCTGGAGGAGAGCAGACCCACTGGGGCGAGGTGACCAGGACTCACGATGAAGGGCCTGAGGTTGAGGCAGGGCAGGGATAATGGGCTAAATACAGAAACCTCACTCACGCCTTCAAGTCTACATCCCAGCACACGGCTGTGTGACCCAAAATGCACTTGAAATTTTAGCAAAAAGTCACCTCCTCGGCAGGATTTGGGAGCCTTGCAGGCCCCTGGACCCCACATAGCTCCCTCCCTGGGCACATCTCTGGCTGCACCCCTACCTGGCACCTCCCAGAAGGATGACTGCAACCACCTGCACCCCCAAGGGCTCCGACCTTCCCTCAGAACCGAGCACACACTGGAGCCGTCAGAGGTGCCACTCACAGCAAGCCCTGATGCTGTGGCTGTGGGCGGGGCGGGGCTTGGTGGCGTGCCGCAGCTAGCGCCTCTGAGCAATGTCAGCGCCCAGAGCCCAAGCATTTACCTCCCAGGAAAAATGAATCAAACAAAAGAACAGGGTGTGGAGCCACAGTGGACAATACCTGAGACTTCGTGGGCACAAACACAGGAGGTGCAAAGGGAGAGGGACGAATGTAATTCTAATTTAAAGCAGAATCTGAAAGTGAAACACCTACAATTCATGTCCACCTTTAAATAGCCCAGACCAGTCTCTGTGCAGGTTACAGGGAGAAAAGAGCAGGGGTGATCTGCGGGCTCCAGGCACCTGCACGCACCTCTCCTGTCTGGAAGCGACTGTCCGCGAGCGTTACGGAGATGCGGGGTGGGAGCCGAGTCCAGCGCTGCTTAACAGAGACCGACTGAGCGTCCCCTGCGGGCCAGGCTCTGCAGCAGGTGCTTGGGCTCGAGGACCCCCAGGCAGGGAAAGGCCTGCGCCCTGATGAAGTCCCGTCTCGTGCATGACTAAGAGAGCAGCTCATGGAAGCCCATGTTCATGGTGGACTGTTTACAATCTGGTAGTAGCCCGGCTGGCGTGGCCAAGTGGCTGAGCATGGACCTATGAGCCAGGAGGTCATGATTCAATTCCCAGTCAGGGCACACGCCTGGGTTGCAGGCTCGATCCCCAGTGTGGGCTGTGCAGGAGGCAGCCGATCAATGATGCTCTCTCATCTTGATGTTTCTATCTCTCCCTCCCTCTCCCTTCCTCTCTGAAATCAATAAAAATAAATAAATAAATAACCTATGGTAGCGAATGGGTAATAGTTTAAGGCTGGTCTAAAAATAAGCAGAAATATTCTCAGGGAAGAGTGTACTGGGCATGACTGTGTTTCCTTTGAAGTTCAGGACACACTACAAATGTTTCCATTCAAAAATAGTAATTTATTGACTGGGAATATAACTGTGACATCCTGTAAAATGAATTAATTATGTACAGAATACATGTGTTCTACTGCACACTCCACCCGCACATGGGTGACAGGCCCCTCTTGGACTGGCCCTTCACATCCGGGTCCCCATGTGCTGTCCCCCCACAACGCCAGCTGCTCACCCCCTAAAGCGCTTTCTGCAGAAGCAGCCGCAGTCTCCTCTGCTCGTCCGCCACGGGGGTCGCCCACTTCCGCTTCAAGAACTGGACGTCCATGTGGCCAGAGGCTCTGGCCAGCACCAGGGCCAGGAAGCCGCCGCTGGTCCTCTCTGGCTCGCCCACGACCGCCATGGCCACCAGCCTGGAAGAGAGGCTGCATGACTGCGAGGCTCCTGGGGCGTGAACGAGAGTCTAACCACCGCCATGAGTCAGGACGAACGTCAGAACAGAAGCCAACACAGGGAAGCCTCTAAAACCCATTTTGAAAACTCACTCCTGAGCGAGAGGCCTGCTGCACGACCGCTGGTCACCGTCCCTGTTAAGCATGAAGGACTTGCTCCCCGGACAGGCAAACCCACAACCCTGGGCTGCAGGCAGCCCTGCCCTGAGACCAGACCTGCGGCGAGAAGCCTGCAGCCACCCCAGCAGCCCCATGCGCCCGCATCCCTCCCAACCCCATCTGTCCAGGCCTCAGAGACAGTCTGGTCCTACTGCTGGGCCCCAGGTCGAGAGCCACCGCATCACTGAAGGGCGGGACAGGGAGAATTAAGCCCTCCTGAGCCCACAAAGGAACAAATCTTGAGAATTTCCACCCACTGAGTATGTTAAGACTGCTGCTTGGTTATTGCCACAAGCTGGGAACTCCAGGAACGATGCAGCAGGGGGAGGCCAGGGAGCCGGGAGAGCTCGAGGGCAGCACAGCAGCTCCCGCTGAGTTCTGCAGACATGGTGAGGCCTGGTGCGGAAACGCCACTCAGCACTACCAGGCCTGCTCACTACTATTTGTTCTTAATCCTCACCCAAGGTTACTTTTCCATTGATTTTTCTCCAGGGAGAGTGGGGGGAAGGGGAAAGAGTGAAAGGGAAAGAGAGAAACATCGATGTGAGAAAGACATCAACTGGGTGCCTCCCACATGTGCCCTGGGAGTGAGCCTGAAACCCAAGTACCTGCTCTTAACCAGGAATCGAACCCAAGACCCTCTGGTGCTCAGGCCACCGCTCCAACCACTGAAAACACTGGCCAGGGTTGTCAGAGCCAATTTAATGTGCTTTGAAAAAACATTAAAATAAAATGTGCTTCAGATCTGTGAGCCGAACAGAAGCCAGGCAAAGAGGGCAGAAAACAGCGCAGCGTCGGGTTTGATCCTGGCCGCCCAGGCCACAGTGCGCAGCGTGTATAGTAACTTGAACTTAACTCTAACAGGGGCAAATGCTTCCTTCTTTCTAAACTCCTGCTGCTCGCCTGGCACCAGGGTATGTAGTGGACCAGTCAGTGGGCTCACATCCTTGTGGGGCCAGATGGGTGAGAAACACAATAAAATAAATGAGGTTCCACAGTGGGGTGGGGAGAAACTCTAGAGCAGCGGTTCTCAACCTGTGGGTCGCGACCCCTCTGGCGGTTGAACGACCCTTTCACAGGGGTCGCCTAAGACCATCCTGAATATCAGATATTGACATGACGATTCATAACAGCAGCAACATTACAGTTATGAAGTAGCAACGAAAATAATTTTATGGTTGGGTCACAACATGAGGAACTGTATTTAAAGGGCCAGAAGGTTGAGAACCACTGCTCTAGAGAAAAATAATTGGGCACTTTCTTTGACTATTATCACTTCTTTAACTTAAACACTGCTTGCTGCTAACCTCTGAGGCAGGCGGTGTCTGGAAGAATGTTCTAGATCACGTCTGCCTTTTCTCCACTCGCTGCTCCCTGCTGGCAGCCTCAGCCCAGCTGACTGACTGACCACCAGCCATGCAGGAGGTGGGGTTAGGGTTAGGGTTCGGGTCAGGCACAGTCGGCCCCAAGACCCCATGTCCCGAGTCTCTGCCAGACCTTCCTTCCTGCCCATTCCAAGTCCTGACTCCCTCTGGCGCACACCTGGGCCCGTGCCTCCTCGTTTCTCCCCACCCCACTGTGGAACCTCACTTATTTTATTGGGTTTCTCACCCATCTGGCCCCACAAGGATGTGAGCCCACTGACTGGTCCACTACATACCCTGGTGCCAGGCGAGCAGCAGGTGCTCAATAAATATTTGTTTTATTAAGTAACTGACAAGCCTTTTGAAATAAATGACATGCATATTATGTGTTTAGAAGTGAATCGCAGTCTGGATTTTGATGATGTATTTTTTTAAATAATTAGAATAATGTCTATACCTAGTACTTTTCAGATCTCATCAGTGTGTCCCTAACACCCAGCAAGCGATTCTGTCTCAATCACTCTCCACCTGGGTGGTCCCCGCCCTCCCCAGGCTCCTAGAGCCATCGCCATCAGGCAATGACTAACGAGAAATACAAAATCTCAGGGAGATGGACAGTGAGCAGACAAGTGGGTCAGGAAAGAAGCCTTCACAGAGAAGGCTGTAGAAATAGTTCTAGTTTCCATGAATAAAACAAGACAGGGATTGCTGGAGGCCGACCATGATCATCTCCATGTCACCGGGTCCACGCAGAGGCCACGCGCTGGTGTGACTGCGCCCCACTCTGGGGCGGAGGAATGCGTCCATGTGACAGGGTGTCAGTGACTGACTCCCAGCCATGGACTGCGAGACACTGGATGGAGGGCTGCAGATGGTACAGACGGAACCCTGAGAGCATGACTAAGGGGCTCACCCGTTTCTTCTTTCCTTTACTGAAGAACAATGATGGGGAAATGGTGCCATGTGAATTCTTTAATCCATAGACTACTCTGGACTAAATTGAAATCAACATACCTTAAAGTGGTTTGTAAATTATTACTTAAATTGATACTATAGAAGCAGTCCTTAAACAACAGAACACATTCTAACGTCACTACCGAAAGCTCTGCAGGGAGGACTGGCGGCCAGCGCGGTCCCTCAGACCTACCTGTCTGGAGAGATGGGCTGCTTGGCTACAGGACCCAGGTCGCTCTTCAGGAGGTCCCAGATGTAGATGCAGGAAGTGTCGTCCTGGACGAAAAACACCGCTGGCCGGGTCGGGGACCACTGCAGGCCGGTGATGGCGCGGCCCGCGGTGCTGAGGCCCCACTGCAGCACCGGCCGCTCAGACGCCAGCTGGTGGAGCCTGATGCTCCCGTCACAGCAGCCAGCCTGTGGGCAGGAAACCAGATCACGGCTCTGCTTCCCTTTCAGCCAATCTCATAGTGGGAAACACTTTCAGAGCATCAACACTTTTCAGTTCGTGCAGCAAAAATATCTTTTTGTTTTTGAAACATAGAATTCTAACATTAAATCTGTCCTAACAAACGACAAAGGTAAGAATTCACCTGGGAGGTTCTGGGACATTTTGTACTCCTTCCCCTTCCCAAAGTGGCCAATAGGCAATGAATTCCGTGAGTGTACAAGTAGGCGTTTATTTGTAGCAAAGTTGGATCTCAGTGATTCAAACACAGGGCATTAAGATTGGCTCCATGAAAATCAATAAGGCATCTTTAAAAAGATATACATACATTTGCACCAATAATATAGTGATACATCCCCTTGGGTTGAAATTTCCATAAAATAAAACGTAGCTGGTTTAGTAAAAGACCAACATTTAGCTAAAAAGAGAAGCTTGTACTCTATATACTAAGTCAGTCCATAAACAAGGCAGAGGCACAGACGGCATCACGCGAGGCTCAGGGCACTCAGGGGCCTGAGTCGCGTGGCCTGCGGTCGGTGTGTCCTGCACAGCGAGCACTTCTCACTGCCCGGATCTTGGTTTCCACGTGTTTTTTCCTAACAGGAGCCAGGACTCCCTGGAGAAAGGGCTGACTCCAGGAATTCACTACACCAAAAAGCAAAAAAGGGCTCACAGAATGATGCCAGAGAGCAAAGGACTAGTTCCAAGGACCCCCCAGGGATGCTCTGAACAGAACAGGGGCAGCAAATGGCTGTAAGCCACTGAGGAGAGTAAGGAGCCATGTGCCCACACTTACGTTACACATACATGCCTCCATACATACCAATAAACATGCCTGCCTACATGTACACCTAACATACATATTTACATACTCCTACATAGTAGAAAAGACAGACAGCAAACTAGTAAACATGGAATTAACTACAGGATGCAAAGCCACCGTCGGAAATCACCGACATCAGATGCCAGTGAGGATCATGAATGGATGCAGGTAAGAATGTGAGCACATAGATGCGAAAGTGAGGGTGCAGGTGAGGACAAGTCAATCATTAACATCGGCTGCAGGGTAGGATGGGTGCACGTGGGGAGGGTGCATGTGGGGAGGGTGCAGGTGGGGAGGGCGCAGGTGGGGAGGGCGCAGGTGGGGAGGGCACAGGTGGGGAGGGTGCAGGTGGGGAGGGTGCAGGTGGGGAGGGTGTAGGTGGGGAGGGTGTAGGTGGGGAGGGTGTAGGTGGGGAGGGCGCAGGTGGGGAGGTGATGAATGGCAGGAGCCTAGCAGAGCATCCACTGGTCTCCCTGGAATGGCCATTATCAGAAAGGGAAGACAAGACCTCCTCAGTGTTCCCACCTTACCCAGGAGCCATCAGGTGGGCGAAGATGGAAAATGGAGTCTAACTCGCACACACTCAAACTGAGGAGCGCCGTTCAGGTTGTGAGGAGACCCGTGACCCGGGAGGTTACTGCAGCCACTCCCACTGGTCAGGTGGGGGCGCTGCACTGGCTTCCTGCTGATGCGGCTCTGTGGCCACCAGAGCAGCCATCACTCAGCCACTTAGGGTGGGAGCCCCGCCTGCACTCTGGGAGGACTTCAGGACTAAGTGCACCCGCAGGAGAGGGCCGAGCCGGGAGGCAAGGGCGTGCCTGTGGGGCACCCCCGGGCTGGGCAGGCAGGGCCCGCTGTCCCTCCTGGGAGTCCCCTGTAACACTGAAACTAGGTCAGAACGCCAAGTGTCAAGAGGTCTAAGTAGCCATGTGACGGCCTGCACAGCTGGGAGGGACTTTCAGGAAACCTCGCGGTGACACATGCGGACGCCCCGCCAGCCTGCGGGGACTGAGGCGCAGTAAACGGTTGATGCTAAAAGCCGATCCGTCCCTGCAAGGGCTTTGGGGCCCCAATGGAACTGGTGCCTCCTCACCAAGAACGCCGGCTCTCCAAAGGGCGAGAAGTCCACGGCGGTCACCTTCACCGGCCTCTCGCCGTGCTGCTGGGGTTTGAAGAATCTGGGAAATACTCTCAGGTCCTGTCTGGAGCCATGGCCTACAAAACCCTGGTGATAAACATACAGCAGTGACTAAAGCCAAGGGAAGTACAAGGCTGGGTAAAGCTAGTCTTCTCGAAACAGCTTAAGCAACATTGTAAAAGCAGTGAATTCATCTTTATTGACGACATTGATCAAGCAACTCGAGGAAAGAAGAAGGGTTCCAGAATGAAGTTTGAATATTCCTCACCATGTTGGTGCCGACAATAAAGTGATTAGGATCTGAAGGCAAAAATTTAACATTCAGTGTTTGTGCAGCTCCCCAGCGTCCGTCGCCTTTGTGGGAAAGGCTGGAAGAAACAGCAGAGGTGAGCGGACGGGCTGGGAACCGCGGGCCATGACGGCGCAGCACACGCATCACATGTGTCCTGTGACTACTTCCCATGTTCTGTGCTCTGGATAGTTTCCTCAGATACGTCTCGCATGCCTGCTACTTCACATTCCCCTCCTTTACTCTCACGGGTCAGTCTCGCTTCTAGAACTCTCTTAGATTGTGCCGTAATCTCCGCAGGCGAACCCGCGGGCCGTGCAGCAGGTCCTGTAACCTCTCCTTCGGCTGCACTGGTCAGGCCTGTGATGCTGGGGTTTCAAGTCTCCTCCTCCTCCATCTCCTGGGCTGGGGCGGGGCTTTCTGGGTTTCTCTCTCACGAAGGGACAAGGACCCCAGTGCTGTGCGGGGTCCAGCCCCACCTTCCAGCCTCGGGCAAGCCCGCAGCACGCAGCCCCGGCATGGGTGGAGCCACAGCAGCAGCGGGGCCCAGGGGCCCAGCCTCATCCTACACACACACACACATGCACACACGCACACACACGTGCGCACACATACACACACGCACACTCATACACACGCACACTCGTACATGCACGCGCACACAGACACACACACAGACACACACACACACACAGACGGGCTACCCCTGGCTCCAACCTCCACCCTGGACCTGGCACTGACAGGCGTTCCTCTCATTTAAAGACTTGTGTGCATGGTTGTAACAGCAGAAACCGCTCTGCCTGCGCCAGAAGCAGGAATCTGGCCACGGTCTCTCTCCCCCACACGCAGGACTGCAACTGTCAAACGCAGACCCTCCTATCACTCGCAGAACAGAGCTGAGCCCGCCCCTGCCCCCGCCCGCCAGGCTGCCCAGGTCCTGCCTCAGATCCACTCCTCCTCATCTGTGTGGGACCTGGACCCCGAGCCAGGCACTGGAGAGGGCAGGGCCTCCCTCTCACCATTCCTAGGACCTTCGCTGAAAGGCACCCTCATCCCCACGACGGCTGCCCAGCCCTGACCCTGACCTTCCACACCGATCCCGGCAACAGCCCAGGCGTCTCCGCTCCAGTCCCCGCCTCTGCTCCACACTTTCCCTCTAAGCCCCGAACAGCTCCCGATCGCCATCAGGAATGGAGGACTGTGGAAACCCTCACGCAGCAAACACTGACTCATCCTTCTCTGGACGGCAAGCCTCCAGGTCCTGCCCTCACTGTGTCATAGCCTCATGCCCTGGCTCCACGTCCTGCTCCTGCTGATCAGACACTCCTGGTCCACCTCCCACCTCAGGGCCACCTCTCCAAGAAGTCACCAGTCACCCCCACCATCACTCTGAGCTCCCACAAGCATGTGCATGTCCCATAGAGCGAGTCACGCATGTGCCATACCCATGGTGGACGAGGAGACATGCCGCCACCCAGGGTCACTCCCTCCTCAGACTCCCGAGTTCAGTGACGGTGGGAGAGAGGGCACAGGACCTGGCAAGGACACTCGGGAGCTCCCGGGCCAGGGCCGTCTGCATCTGCGTGACAGTCACCTGCCCCTCGCGGCCAGGTCTGTGCCTCTCCCCTTTGTAGGCACGGGTCCCGGGGGACCACCATGAACACCCCTCTCACTGAGCTCTATTCCCCTGACACAGGGAGCCCACCTCTGTAACCACGGGGACTACGTGTCTGCGTCCTTACAAGAGCCCGGGGTCCCACCAGCCCAGGGGCCACCTGTGGGCACGAAGGACTGGGGTCTGCGACCACCGGTCCTGTTTAACTTCCTGGTTGTATTAACACTGAGTGAAAAATAGTCACATTGCACCGATTCATAAGCTGGACCATATTTTAATCAAAGAAAAGCAGTTGGCTCTCCATTTGCGATGTGCCTTTACACTGACTCATGAATGACCAGGCATTCGGCCATCATCTCTGTCGCCTCCCCATGTGGGACACGGGCCTGTGCTGAGGGGCTGCCTCCCGGGGGCACTTACCTGTCGCTCAGCCGAGTCACAGAGCTGTGCACCAGCTTTATCCTCCCTCCAGGGATGAGCCCTAAAAGCAGGGAGACGGGGATAGATGTGCCTCTGAGGACCAGCGGCCCGGTCCCTGGAATCACGCTTCACTGCTCCACACCTGCGTCAGGGGCAGACCGGAAGGCAGGAGGCCCCCAGGGGCAGGTGCGGTTCCTGAAAGCCCCCGGCGCTCAGCCGAGAAATAAGGGTCTGCAGTCAGAGCCTTGGGAAAGGGCTGTGAGCCACGGTCAGGAAGCCCTTGCCTTTCAGACCTGATCCGGCAGCACACTGAGCGGAAGATACGGAATGAAAACCAGCACTCAGCGTCCCCGCGCCCCTCGCAGCAGCGCAGGGTGCGATGGGCCCTGCCGGGCGCCCCCCTCCGCGCCCCTGCCTCCTCCCAACGACTCGCACACCGCCCTTCCCTCAACGTCGTCATGGCCACAACCTGCCCCTCAGCCACGCGGTGGCTTTGCTTCCTGTCTATTCCCAACACCATCTTCCCGTTTGTAATTACTGCATCTTGAAACCCAAATCCTGGGCAAGGCACTGTCCTCAATGTGCCCATAAATAAGCTCACCCGCAGATGAAGCCAGGAGGCTGCCAATGCCGCCGTCACAGGTGGGAAGCAGCGTCCCACTTCCCCAGGGGGCGCCTTCCCAGGGAAGCCAGCCAGGCCTGAGCGCGCCCTCGGCAGCACCCTTCTGACCTGAGCCCCGTGGGCCCTCAGCCCACACTCCCAGTCCACTCACCTGTTTCCGGGCACCTGGGATGGGACCAGGTTGCTCAGAGAACGCTCATCAGTGAAGGACTGGCTCCCACCACAGTGGGTGCTCTCTGACCGGCCCCCAATCTAATGCACGAGATAGAGCTTGGACCAGACACTGGTCCCTGACGTACAACATAGGGATCCAAGGGACACAGTCGTCAGGGAACTAACGCGCTCGGCCTCGCTGCCAGCACTCAGCCCGCACGCCCTTCCCCACTGCAGCTGAGGTGCTCACACAATGGCCAATGAGGTTGTAAGACACATGACCTTCATGTTCATCTTTCAGGTAGCCAACCACTTATTTTCCAAGTAGTTAATGCTATCTTTAATCTTTCATTTTCAGCAAACACTGACAGAAATTCATTTTTTTCATTTAATAGTTACCTAAATCACTTATCGAACCTGCAAGATCTGCCTTTGGTAATTCAACAACCACCTAAAAACAGAATATTGAGATGAACATTAACGCATTTTATAATGAGGGAGCCATCTAAGCACAGCACAGGTCTAACAGAGACACCAGCTGAGCGGGTGCTAGAAGCGTAACTGCTCCAGACAGAGCGGCCTCGCTTCAGAATCATCCCTGCGAAGCTGCCAGCCCCTCCCGCCCTCGCCCCTCCCTGACATCGGGCCAGTGCCTCGGAGCATCGCACGTCCTTTACCCTCATCCCTGACTGCCTGTCTCTGGTCCACCTGTGTCCGCCCCCACAGGACCCACAGCTCCTGGGACGCTGCCCTGCCCTGCCTCCCTGTCACGTGGCCCTGGCAGCCTTCTCCCCAACAGCCACACACTCTGCTCCCAGAACCTGGGAATGCAGGGGTGCAGTGCCCGCGTGCCCCACTCACCCACACGTTGAGAACCCCACTCTCGTCCAAGGAAGCGATGTGGAACGAGAAACCCGACATTTCTAACAGAGAGAGAGAAATGGCTCAGCGAGGAGCGCACAGGCCACAGCCTGAGTTCGGGGTTCTAGGGCGGTGAGGGTCACGTACCTTCCTGAGCAGAAAAGGGCGAGAGGACAAAACTCTGTTTCTTGTGGCCAGACGCCGCGACAGGCTCGATGGCTTGCAGGGGGCTGCGGTGGTTCACAGGGGTGAGGACGCCATCTGGGGAGGCACAGGCGCCAGGGGGGGATAAGTTAGAGACACACTGCCGTCAGGGAGGGGCAAACACAGGTGCTTCTGAGATACATGCTCCCCCTGGGACCACGGCTGAGGTTCCCTGGGGCCACTGCCTTCCGCATGACCACGGAGCAGACCACAGCCCCAGCCACCTGTGAGAGGAACGGGACATCCCGCCGGTGGGTGGAGGGCCCTGGGACTCCCTCCTGGGAGTTGGGGGTCTCAAGGATGGACGGAGACCAGAGAGACAGCTCAGCTCCCAGGGCAGCCACCTGACGGGCAGGGCAGCCTGGAGCCGCTGCTTCGGGAGGGAGGGGCAACACCTCCTCAAAAAGCACGTATGTAAAGCAAACACACACAGAAATGCCTGGAATCAGAAACTCAGAACAGAAATTTTAACAAAACGAGCAAGAAATAAAGAGAGAGCTGGGGCTGAGCTCAGCAAAGATGACGCATAAATGACAGGTCTGGAGCCGATGGGCAGGACACAGGCGGCGCCGAGACGCGGCTCGGACTTCTCCTGAGGTCCATGGACCCCTCACTCCCCGGAGCCCACTGAAGCCTCATAGGTTTGGGGACAGGACATGGTGGTGAACTCAGAGATGAACCAGTAACATGGGCAGCACATGTGAAAGGTGTCTATTCCAACAGCATCACACCGACGAGGATCCTATTTTCTGCCAAGGGCCGCTTGGATATTGATAACATCATCTGTGGGCCACACCAGATCACCCACTTAAACATCAGCTGCTGTATCGGGTCAAACACTTAATGCCTTGGCAGGGCCAGCCCAATGATTTCGTGGGCCTTGTATGGCGCACGGGCCGGAGGTTCCCCACCCCTGCTATAGACTCACACATTCTCCCTCAAAGGGGCAAAAATTGGTTGTTAGGAGACAAAAAAAAAATACTTGCTCTTTTTATGTATAAAACACAGACACGCATACAGTAAGATATGCCATGCATGTGTGGTGCTGACTTTCCTAGAGGGCTGATCAGGAAAAGGAGTGTGAGAGAATGAGAAGACAAGCCCTAGCAGGGAGGAAATACTTGTGAAGACACATCTAATGAAGGGCTGGTGTCCAAAATGCACAAAGAACCCTTACAACTCAGCCATGAGAAAGCAATGAATCCGTTTAAAACGTGTAAAAGACCTGAACAGACACGTCTCAGACAGAAAGCAAGCAAGCACCTGAGGCGCTCCACACCCCGTGTCATCCGAGAGCCACCGTGAGAACAGTGGGAGGCTGCCACACGCCTGTCAGTGGGCAAAAACACTGATGGCCGCGTGCCGCCCGGTGCAGACACCCAGAGTGCCTGTGAGAAGGCCATGTGGTGTGAGCATGCGGAGCCCAGGTAACCGACAAAGCACCTGGTGTTTCCTGGAGGGAACGACCGCTCAGCAGAGGGAGGTGACCTGGGAACTCACAAGAGCACAGGGGAGCCACAGAGACGCTACATGAGGAAAGAAGCCAGACGCGAGGGTGTATGCTCCACATGGCCCTCGTACCTTCCATCTGGAGAAGCAGGACACAGAGACAGAGAACGGACCAGTGATGGTGGGAAAGGGGGAAGGGTGTCAGGGTGGGGACAAGTGAGAGTGAGGACAATTGGGTGAGGTCCCGTGAGTGGACAGCCCTCATCTCTGAGCAGCAGCAGTGGAGGGTGAGACGGCATTGAACACGATGCCTGGGAAGCACTGGAAAGAGCCCAGACACGAGACTCTGCCAAGTGGTGGGGGTGCTGCTGAGTGACTGGTTGGTTTTGATTGTAGTTGTGCTTGTTTGCCTGTGGTTATGGTTGGTTGTTTGTGGTTGGCTAGTTGTAGTTGTGTGGTTGTATGGCTATGGTTAGTTGTGGCTGGGTTGTTTGGTTATAGTTCATTGTGGCTGTAGCTGGTTAGCTGTGGTTGCTTGGCTGTGGTGGTTTGGGTGTGGCTGTGTTGGTTGGTTGTGGTTGCGTTCGTTGGTTGTGGCTGTGTTGGTTGTGGTTGTGGCTGTGTTGGTTGGTTGTGGTTGTGTGGTTGTATTGGTTGTTTGTAGCTGTGTTGCTTGGTTGTGGTTGTGTGGTTGTATTGGTTGTTTGTAGCTGTGTTGGTTGATGGTGGTTGGTTGTGGTTGTGTGGTTGTGGCTGTGTTGGTTGGGTGTGGTTGTTTGGGTGTGGCTGTGTTGGTTGATGGTGGTTGTTTGGGTGTGGCTGTGTTGGTTGGTTGTGGTTGTGTAGTTGTATTGGTTGGTTGTGGCTGTGTTGGT